AAAAAAAAAAAAATAAAGTAGAAGGGGATCTTAATAGAACATTGTGTCAGAAGAGTCCCTGTACCCCTTGAGAATTGCTGGCTATGTCTTGGCCAAGAAATGGTCAGACTTATAGATGAGCTATTCTTTTTAAACAAAAAAACAAAAAAACAAAAAGATGTCCACATCTGCTGCTCTTTCCTGTGATGACAAATGTCTGTCAGGACTCTGCTACCTGCTAGAGCTTTTCAAGGAAAGAAAAGAAAAACAAAAAACACCCTTCAAAGCATTCCTCTGGAGGCTGACGTGCTAGTCTGTGTCTCCAAAGTAATAGAGATGTTTCCCTGTTTTTAAGTCAATAGGTTTTTCTTTTTCAAAGCACTTTTTTTTTTCCTCTTTAAAGTATGGAAGAATGTTGGGAAATCAAGGTAGGATATGTATCGGCCCCAGAATCTGAGACTTATTTCCTTGTTGGTCCATCTGGAGTCAAACAGCCGCCGGGTTCGGTCTGCCCATTAACTCTGGGCAGGGCTGCTGGGCAAGACATCTGCGCTTCAGAAAGAGCCTTTTGAGAAAACGGATGTTTGGAAGCAGTTTCATCGTTACGGGATTTGTTGCTGTAAACCAACTCCATTTGCACATTTAAAAAACTTGAAAACTGGCATTTTCGAATGTATTTTACATTTGTAAGAACGACTAGCCAGCCTCAGGGGAGATGGAAAGTTACTGGCTAGCTTTCAACACCAGCATCACACAGTTGGGGAGAGTGAGTGAAAACTGAATAGCGCGGTTTTCTCCGCGCCATCCCATCGACAGGGAGCTTCTTCCATCCTGAGCCGAGATACCTTGTTAGCTATGGCAATGTTAAAACCCAGGATCAAAATAAGCTGAACTCAGAATTAGACTGTGAATTGTTGCATCTACATGTTTAAAAACTACTAAAACAGCTATAGTTTTGGAAGATGGAACCATTAGCAGAAACTGGGTGATGGACACGCGGGACCTCTCTGTGACTATTTCTTGTAACTTCCTGCAAATCTATAATTACGTCAAAACCCAAAAATTAAATAAATACATAAAACTTGTTTCATCCCATTAGCGTGTATGACATTGCTATGCACTGTATGTCATGTTATAACTATATACATGACATAGAGTCACCGAGTGTCATTTCTAGAAAGAGCAGGGTGGGTCAAGAGTAACCTGGCGAGGGGCGCCTGGGTGGCTCAGTTGGTTAAGCGTCTGCCTTCGGCTCGGGTCATGATCCCAGGGTCCTGGGATCGAGCCCCATGTCAGGCTCCCTGCTCCTCCCACCCACTCATATGCATGCTCTTGCGCTCTCTCTCCCAAATAAATAAAATATTAAAAAAAAAAAAAAAAAGGTAACCAAGTGAAAAAATGTCAAAAAAAAAAAGAAGCTTTACTGATCTACATCCTCACTTGGTCTG